GAGAGAGAGAGAGAGAGAGAGAGAGAGAGAGAGAGAGAGAGAGAGAGAGAGAGAGAGAGAGAGATCCAAAAGACATAACTCAGGTCTAGATACATAATATTCGTTAAGGCTGTAGTTATTCGCACAGGGTGTGTGAATACTATGAAATTTTATTCGCACACGGTGTGCGAATACTATGAAGTTATATTCGCACAGGGTGTGCGAATACTATGAAACTTTATTCGCACAGGATGTGCGAATACTATGAAGTTATATTCGCACAGAGTGTTTCAAAAGAAGGATGGAAATCGGGCCTACCATTTCCTCATTTTTTCCCCGCATCGCGCAAGGACAAAGATCTTAGGGGGCTGGATTGAACCAGAGAGTTGATTGAACTTTGGTGGACCCGCCGTGTTTATATGTATTAATGCGCACTAGGCAAACAACGATTATAATAAACAGAAAAGTGGACCAGGAATATTTAATAGTTTGCTCTGCCCAAGAACTTTACTTTATAGTGGACCCACATTGCCAGCCTAGGCTAGGCCTAAGAGGTACCATGAGACTAATAATTAGAGACGATAGAGGCGCGGGTGAAGTTTACCAGACCAGTGAAAAGAGGGGGAGACATGGTGGAGGTATCTAGATTTGTTTCTAACGTGTACTGTAGCTATGCTGTCTTCTCAATTCAGTTCAGACTTTTTCTTCTCTTCGCTTACTTGGGCCAAGACTTGACCGTAGCCTAGATTCTAGGAGAAATGAAGAATCGGGAATGATTTTTACCTTTCCTGTACCGTGGTCTCCATTTATATAATCCGTATCAGATCTAGATCTAATATACATGATGAATAACAAGCAAGCATAGAATGACCATTCCTTTCTTTTAAAAAAAATGTTCCACTCACACCAAAATCTACTCTTAAATATCTAGATCCACATTAGATAAAGAAAAATACATGTGTATAGTCTGTATTTAGTAACCCATCATCATCATGCCCATGTAGATCATAGTGGGAACAATAGATCTAGACATCTAATGGGCCTGTCTGTTCTCA